GGGAAATTTGATTGTAAACGTTTCATCACCAATAGAGGTGACATCATCAGTGCATGCATGGTTAGGGTGTGGAGTGGAGCGCAGCGATGGGTCGTGTAAAGCACCAATATATCAACCGGAATACTTAAAGAGAGCCAAATATCGGGTCAGTGGACCAAGGAACAAGAAATCCCTTGGAGTCAGATCAACAAAGGTAATGTAAAGACTGAAACCCAGAGAGGTCAGAGACTTAGGTCACTCCAGCACCAATCAGAGAGCTGAGGAGGCCAAGTTCAGAGATTAACAGTTAATCTACCAGCCAGGGCGTAGGATAATATATCTACCAATGGGACTAACTGCCCGAACGAACAACCAGTCATGGTCGGATGTCGTCCCATACAAGGAATACGTATATCAACAAGTACGCAACACGGTTCAACGCAAATCCACCAACCCACTGCTACGCACAACTGCGCTCCCCAATTACGCACTAATGATGTCACCTCGATTGATGATGAAACGTTTGCAATCAAATTGCTCAGCTTAGCTAACAAACCAAATACCGTCTGCGCTACCATGAGCTTCCAACATTCCCCCCTCAATAACAGCCAGTTGGTCAACAGTATCACAACTCACAGGTAACGAGTGGTTCTCCTCAAGCTAAGTAAACTGAGTGAATGTTGAACAATACCTACGAAACTGATCGTCAATTGAATTACGATTTCAAGCTATGGGCCAGAGAATCTCAGTAGAGTAGTTGAAATAAATTCTACCTCCTCAGCTGGCGAACAACGTTGAGAGGGATGCATGATTTGACATAACTCGTGGGCGAATTTTTCATACATTACACACGAACCCTTCACTCAAGTTGCCTAGGACCTGATCTGCGTGAGAACCACACATTTACAAGCCGAATTACCAGAGGTTGTAGACGGAAGTTTTATAAGCCATAAAGAAAGACGGTTCGGACTCAGGTCGCATACAACAAGTACCGGAAGAAACTCACAGCGAGTAGTGTCTGTCGCGGCGAGGCAAGCCAATAGGGATGAGCATATGTCAGCAGTAATTCGATGAAACCAGTATATTGGATTGTCGACCGAGTCTCGGAGGCCATATTGCGTCACAAGTTGCCAATGCAGGTAGACAAGCTTCAAACCACTTATGGCAACCAGACAATGTCACGCGAATGTTCAAAATCAGTTCATTTACCAATTGGGTCACATCTGAATTGTCATCTTTTAGCTATATTTTGTCTGGTGTTTGAAGCGGAACACCGGCGCTTTTGCGCTTCTCCCCTAGACGCAGGCTGCGAGTGATTCGGCCAGTATGTCATCCGTGATAACTGAACAAGGCTCGTCACAGTGGTTCATCGGCGTTTGGTAGAAGACATCTACTGGTCAACCAAGATACAAGAGTGGGTAAGCGGGGATGACGGAACAAACAAGTCGGTCAAGAGCGACTGCGCAAGATTCTTATCGGCAAGTTAACTAATCGATATAACCAGCTTGAAATCATGAGCATAAAAGCCGGTAGAATAGAAAAAAGCAGATACCCGGTTATCTTTAATGAACAAAGCCTAATGAGTATCCCAACTTCGAGCCGGGCTACATTCACGATTAAGTGCAATTGCCTGTGATTTCCGTTGACCAGAAAACTTCCGGTCTGAACGGTGCAGATAGGCTGACATTATGTCGGCGACACTTCCGGACAAAAGCGACAGACACTGGAAGTCAAATTCGCTAAGTTGACCCGGTGATTATCCTAAATATGGTAATTTCAGAGAAAGAAAGTGTATGTTACAGAAAGCTGAAGCCTAGCTGTCCAGTCTGGACGCTGTGCGATGGATACTTCGAGGACCAATTAGGCGATGTTGTTCCGAGGATTAGACGGGATACTGAGAACAACAAGCCGGAGGGATTAGTTCGGTTCGTATACTCTCTTCTACAACAAAACGTGTAAAAAAATATGGGAGACGCCATACAATGCAGCTTACATCATTTGTCTGAGTCTTGATGACGTCAAAGAAGCCCTCGAGTTCAACGCGAGCGTTTGTGAAAGCAAAGGACAGGCAGGAAACGATCAATCAATATGACCTCAAATAACTTTAATCACTGTAATAGCTGGCTTCGTGCCGATGTGCGGAACGTTGAGTTCCGTTCAGTTCTCCACCCAGTATCGATCGCAGGCCTGGCGATCGATTGGATGCTGGATTCGACCAGAATTTAACCGGGGCCAGCTGACTTGCTATGGAATATTTTTTGGCACGTGCCCAGTGGCTCGCAATGCACGCCTTTGGTCAAATATGCTGATGAGCAGATTGCTGCAACTTCAGTTGAGTGAGTAAACGCACTGGCTGGTAGATAAATCCAGAGTTGGCACTTTGACTGATGGCTGTGGCATATCCCGTGTGTATGGTTTCACAAATCGATGTATCGAATTCGGTATCCGGTCAAATATCTGATGAGCAGATTGCTGCAACTTCAGTTGAGTGAGTAAACGCACTGGCTGGTAGATAAATCCAGAGTTGGCACTTTGACTGATGGCTGTGGCATATCCCGTGTGTATGGTTTCACAAATCGATGTATCGAATTCGGTATCCGGTGCAGGAAAACGTTTGGTTTTCATTCGGTCTGAATTAAAGACATGATCAGGTTTTTTTGTGAGCTATTCGAAGTGAACATTGGTCTATCTCTTTGAAATAAATTGAACAATGAACAAAAGCTTGTCAATTTCGGGAGTCGCCCATCCCTGTGAGCTACCAATGCACACAGCGAGACGTTGTACTGTCAGTGTTTTCGCAATCGGAAGGCCTGAAATGTACAATTGAATAGAATGTTCTGATTGGGTGTTTTTTAAAACAAAGAGCAACTTCCTCTTACTGTATGCGGCGGGTATAGTATCACTTAAACACATTCCATACAAAGGTACATCAACTTCTGCCAACTCTGGCTACTTGCGTTGGTCCCAGATGGATCCCATAGCGACACCACCAGCTTTCCTGAAAGGAACACCTGTCGCTTCGACAAATTGCACACAACTCTGTTTTGGGAAGAGACTCGGTTGGTTCCAGCTGTAACTCTGGTTTGTCTCTATTCAACCGAATGTGCTGCACCAGACCGCCTCATGTTTCAGCTGGTATGATATTCAAGATATGGCAATACGTTTTGTCCATAATTAACACACTAGGTCGCAGAAGGCCTTTCGATAGCCCACGATCAGTTTCACCCTTCTTCGGGCTCATCAAATAGGCGCAGTCCCCGAGTTTCCGTCAACCTTATGTTCTACTTGAAACCAAATGGCACGACACTAGCAGAGTACACTTATTTGCACACCAGTTTGGTTTTGACGAAAGACTCATCTTGAATCCAGCTGAATCTCTCGATGATGATGCTTTCAAGCAACTGAATGTGCTGCACCAGACCTCGTTTTATTTCAGCTAGTAATGAGTAGTGCATTACGTCTATACTTGTATCACGATATCTCGAATATCTCTTGAACCTGATGGAACGCAAAACACCCATGAGAAGCTGTGGAAATGATAAGATACTGTTCTATTTGACTTATATAGTCGTCCGCAAACTCAGCTGGGTTCCAGGTGCGTCTCTCGTCCAAACCAAATTGGTATGCAGATGATTGCACTAGATGGCTCCCGGTGAACAGCAGCTACACTTAAAATGGTTATTAGGGCCTTGAAAAAGCCGATGCAATCCATCCTGATTCACAACAAAATAGATGGCAACGGAGTTGTCACCGGCTAGTGATTCTCTTTGTGACTGACGTCATGGCGGTACTTGTTTGCTATTGCAATGGGTGTGGCAGATGTTGTCAACCTATCAAGAGCCAATTTAATCAATCTGTGTGTTGCAAACTGTCAGCTCATCGTTTCCGTTTTAATTAATGTTAAACTGTGAGTCATGGAATTATAATTCGATCACTTGATGAGAAGTACTTAGTGCAGTCGAAAGCTATCCAAGCAGATGGAATCCTACAAGTGACGGTTAATAATAGATTATGCGCTGAGATTACACGTCTCCCAGCTTGAAGCAGAGCACCGCTTTCATTCTATCTGATTGTCAGCTGTTATTATTCACGAAGCATTTGTGAAGCTGCGATGACCTAATCGTGTAATGCATCGCCGATCTGATTCTCCACATCATACTAGCTGCCTGGCTAGGTGGCTAGGAATGTGAGGACGTATTCTTTATAATGTGTCCACATCTGCCGACGTTAAACCATTTGCATTCACGTACGACTTTGCCACACACAACTCCTGGAATGTGTGTACACATTTTAAGTCTTCTGGGTTCAACAGTCCTGCGAAGAGACAACATTGCCATGGACCTTGTTCTCCCTAGATTGGTGAGGTTCTGTGTTGACAATTTTGGCCTTCCATCCCGTCACTCGGGAATTCCTGAACTTTAAAGCTGCTCGAAAGATTTTGTACACCCGGTGGTGAATCAATATTCTTTGTACGACTCGAAGAAAAGTACATCCAAAAGCAGAGAGTAAGTAACAAAGTGGAAAGGTGGATAATTCTTGTCCTGTACGAAAGAGCTTAACAGCCTGACCCCTCGACATTTGAGACTTGATATTTTACGTTTCTTTGGAGCCCATGACATCCATGGCTCGATCAAGAGACAGACACGTGTATGGGCTAAGACATGTCCGTATGTTGTTGGCTAGTGTATGAACGCACGTGTACGCATGCGCTCCAGTTACTCAGGCCTGGATTTGCTGACTGTCTGCGTGCGGTCGTTCCTTCCAGTGCGCACGCATCCAACCCAACCTCAAAACAGCTGTCCGGTGAAACATGTCCATTTTAATTGGTCAAATTAAATCGGACTTATCACACTCGATGTACCGTTACTTTGCACATTGAATGCTCACATGCCTGCTGCCTACCGCCGCACATCCAAAGCGTTACACATACCCACAAGCGAATCACACAATCGTGCGTTGTGCTGCTAGTCTAACCGCTGTCATCTATGGTTTTGCTATAAACGCTTGAAAATTTCGCTCAGCGACTGACAACGCACGTGCGCGTGGGGCAACAGCGCACTCGCTGTTTATCATGATAAACATGGCTGGAATTTACGATAATCTGTCTCTGGATGTTTTACAGTCACATTCACGTGGACTAGACACTTCTCCGCTCCTGACAGATCCAATGCGACCGTTCCGCGCGGATGTTCTCACTCCCCGTACATCCATGAAGGCAGGCTTTAAACGAAAGGCCACAAGTACCATGGATTTTACCGAGTCAAGTCCCATCCCGAAGAGTCAACCGAATTCGTGCTCGCCCACACGGGCCATGTCGTTCTCGCCCACGCAACAGCTGAATCTACACACTCTGGTCAATCAGGCAACCTGTGCAAAGCCACTGTCACCCCGTCCCACCTGGCTACCTACTATGAACCTTCGTGCAGCAGAATCCGTTGCGGTGACGACATGTATATCACAACACTCGTCACACTCGGGTAAGTGAAGAATGGGTCTGTGGGATACATTGCCCGCATGTGTGAGTGAACTCACTAGAATAGAAACAGTTATGTAACAATTGAGCAAGAGACAGACTAATTCGCAAGCAACTGATCGGAATACGCGCTTCAAATACAACCTCTTCGGAGGCATATTTCTAGACTTCAACAGATTTTGTGTTGTATGATGGAGGCATGATAGCTACATACTAAAGCGGAACCGCAGTTGACCAACAAGATGTGAGTTGACACACCTACCTTTTTTCTAAATTAACGGGATCTTTCAAAGTCCATTGTGCTCAAAGCATGCGAATCATGTATACTTGGTTTTCAGTACAGTTCTACTAGCGCACATCTAAGAGATAAATCGTACAGAATCGATTTTTGCGTTTGCGAGTATGGAGCGTCATCAGTGTGTCCGAGAAACACCGTTGTATTCAACAACGGACTTGATGTATTGGGAAACCGAATTACTAGCGTGGCTCACAAAGGGATGATTAATATACTCAGATTCAAATTCCACCTGCAATATCATTCCAATAGGTTGCTTTGAATTTGACATTCAGCTGAGATCAGTGAGCCACATCTTTCCGTTAGCCGGGCTTTCAATTATCTCATCAGTAGGTTGGGTTTTTTTTCGCGTAAAAGGCTGGCGAGCCCCTGCTCTGTGATACTGAGTCTTTTCACCAACTAATGTAATAATATAAAAGAATATGAAAGGAGCTGTATATGCTTGAACCGTATTCCAAGGCATCGACGTGGCATGCCTGCGTGACACTCTGAAGTCACCGCTGCCAGGTGTGAATCTCAACAACCGAAGGTGCGTTCTAGCGTAGTCATAGGGACGATTCCCGTATCCTCTTGCTCCGATATGTTGGCCAATCGGCATGCCCCATCATCAAACGCACCTATGCAGGTCATCTTGCCAACTTATCGCTCAAGGTCCTCCACACCGTGGATCGATCAGACCGGTACGACAGCGAGAAGCATTTGTTCTTGAGCAGTGCAGCAGCTCCGAAAGTCTGGTCTTGGTACTTACTTGCATTAGACTGTCATTCTTCGGAAGCCATTTTATACATGAGCTTGCGATGGGTGGCAGAGAAGCCCTCCTTGTTTTTGGGTTCCTTGGGATTCAGAAATTTTCGCGATATAAAAGATGCTGCACTGTGGACATTGGCCTCGACAGATTCATCTGTATTCCTTTTGTAACGTCCTCATAGCTGGATTGCACTGACCAAATGTAGTGGGTTCCATTGTGCCCGTAATTTATGGTTAATCCTAGTGATGTGGAAGGATCGCATCGATCGAACAGTTCCTTCAGACTAAGTGTAGAAGGTGGAATCAACAAAGGAACACATAGCCTCACCTGGAAACCGCTAGCTCTCACAAAAAGCCCAAGAAGACTTCAGCTGTGCAAGCTTGGTACATCATTCGACAGCAACCGTTTTTCGGTGTTTCCCCGTTGTGCTTCCGTTCGTTTATGCGTCGAAAATGACAGCTAGTATTGAATGTCAGATATCTGAAGATCTCTCATACCCCGAACAACAGGGAAGTTCGATTTCCCAGCCACCAGACAGGGCACCATAATTTACAGGCAGACCGTCAGTTGGTTCATCTTGACGCTCAACTAGGCTACAAGGTCACTAAAGTCTCGAACAATAATTTACCCCTGGGAACCCCATCTTGGCTGTGAGTTTTTGTGGACTGACGTTTTCTGGAACAATATGACGCTTGCTAATCCACATATACAGTTGCTGTTGCCTGAATCGGTGACTCGTTCACTCCTTCTGACGCGCCTCATTCAATGACGTCATCTTGAAAGTTGAACAAGAGAGAGCAGAGATTCTGATGAAGTCCGATGAAGGTAAGCGCGCTAGTAGGACAGTCATCTGGAATCAAGTCAACAGAAACAGTTCTCGTAGCAGAGGGTGTACCAGTTGCATCGCTTTGATCTCCACAAATATGTAGTACAAACGTCGTTTGGATCAATTCGCCAACTGTCTCAAACACAGCACACTGTGTGAATTCCGAGCTAACAAACTGGTGATGACTGTGGAAAATTGGTGTTCAGTCGTTGAAGGTGTTAAAAACGAGTTCAGAACGGGCTGGACGCCCTGAAGCACATCACGAACATAAAGAAAACTACCCACAAGGTTGCTGAAAACTCTTGGACAGCCCACCACCGGTTTCACCCTTCCCATTCGGGCTCATCAGGTAGGCACAGTCCCCGAGTTTCCAACCCCATGTTCTACTTGAACCCAAATTGGACTTTTTTCGAGAAATACACTCAGTTGCAAATCAATTTGGTTTGCACGAGAGACTCGACCGAATCTCTCGTTCATGATGTGGGTTCAAGTAGAACGATGAGGTTGACGGAAACTCGGGGATTGTGCCTACCTGATGGGTCCTATTTGGAAGGGCGAAACCGGTTGTGGGCTGTTGAGGCGTCTTCAGCAACCTTGTGAGTAGTTTGCTTTATTAAAATATACTGCGATATCTGGAAGATCGTGCCAACCGAAACTTGAGGTGGCCTGTGTGCAGCACATTCAATTTTAGAATATCATAAACAAGAGATTCAGTTGAGTCTCTCGTGAGAACCAAATTGATTTGCAAATGGGTGTATTTCTCGAATTGTGAACATCTTTGTGGTCGTTTATGGGGCCAATCACTTCGGATGGCTCCCCAATTACGGGGCTTGCCACGGCATGTCTGCCAATCGGTCTTTACGACGACGAACGCCAGTCGTGCTTCCTCTGTCCCGTCCCAATGGTACAAAGCAGATTCTGCCAAACCAGTATACATAATAATAATAATAATAATAATAATAATAATAATAATAATAATAATAATAATAATAATAATAATAGTTGTCTAGCGAAATACATCCATTTGCAAACTAATTTGGGTTTGCAAGAGACACCTACAACCCAGCTGAATCTCTCGTTGTGTTGTTTCCAGACAACTGAATGCACTGCATCAGGCCACCTCATTAAGTTGAGATGTCACGACACAGGTTTAGACGTAATGCACTAGTCATAAGATTGCTGAAAATTCATCGACAGCCCATGACTAGTTTCGCCCTTCTTGGGGCTCACCAGGTAGGTGCAGTCCCCGAGTCAGTTCATGCTTAACCCAAATTGGCGAAATACACTCATTTGCAAAATAATTTGGTTTTTTGAGAGGCTCACCTGGTACCCAGCTGAATCTCTCGTTTGTGATGTTTCCAGGTTGACGAAAACTCGGGGTCTACGCATACCTTATGAGCTTCAAGAAGGGCGAAACCGGTCGTGGACTGCTGACAATAGTTGTCTAGCTTTCGGTGTCCAGCTGCCAAGCCATCCGAAGGAAGCACGAGGGATAAGATACTGACAGACTGTTCAAGCTTAGATAGGAGCGTTCAGGATGCGGAGTTGGGTTGGAACCATGGACCTTCCGATAGACACATTGGCACCTTAACCACTGAGCTTATGAAGTTAAAAAAAGATATCCATATGGTTGCTCACCATTCTAGTTTCGTGGGACTTATGCAAGCAAATGCTGAAGCTTTACTTTTTCGGAAGGTAGCGGTGAACGCGGTAAAGCCTTAGCTATGCGCATGATCTCTTTTAACCGCTGTGGTCCACGATAATGACCTAATTCGACGTTACATGCGGAGTTTGGAACCATGGACCTTCCGATAGACACATTGGCACCTTAACCACTGAGCTTATGAAGTTAAAAAAAGATATCCATATGGTTGCTCACCATTCTAGTTTCGTGGGACTTATGCAAGCAAATGCTGAAGCTTTACTTTTTCGGAAGGTAGCGGTGAACGCGGTAAAGCCTTAGCTATGCGCATGATCTCTTTTAACCGCTGTGGTCCACGATAATGACCTAATTCGACGTTACCTACTCCATCGCTCACTCAGCATTACCATCTGTGAAGAGTTGAACATGATTTTGGTACCATTCCTCTGACTGTAATTAAGAATGCATTAGAATCGTGCCACATTGGTTTTATTGTTTCAAGACGTCATTCCCACTCGTCACGATCACACCTTTGTAAACGTAAGTCCAAGAACCGGTGCTCAGTTGAGGGATAAGAGAGCAGCTGGGTGGCCAGTGGATATGCGAAGACATGAGAACCGTCAGCTCAGCGACCAGCAGTCATGAATCACACGCTCCGTGAACCTCGTTTAACACAGTTTGTTCGCTCGTACCTAATAACCACTGGCAGTAGCAGTTCTGTTCACAAGCAATAACAGCCACCGTCAAGAAGATCGACTACCAATAACCGTTCCAGTGGATCAGAAGACGTGGAGGATTCTGTAACTCAGCGCACTTTACATGAACTGTAATTAGCTTCATTACAAATTTCCAATCAATTCTATAAGCTCAAGGGAAACTGAATGTAACTAGTGAAATGAAGTATCGTATCGTTCATCCTTTTGACGACTGAGGTACTGATAGACCTATCACGTTTAGACAGGAGAAGTCGAGATGGCGGAGCTGGGCGCTTAAACCTCTAAACTCTTCCGGCTTGGTGATGTGAAGTCAACTTCACTGCACTTTGAGTTAGCTACTGGTGGGACCATTTCCTCCCCCCCCCCCAAAAAAAAAAAAAAAACACATGGAATTTGTAGAAAGTCTCCTCCGTTACAATTTCTCTGTACTCTTTAGCGAAGCAATTCTTTCCTCATTACTGAATACTAGTTAAGCACTGCTGATATGTTGCAATCGATGACGATGGAATTGAGTTCCGACTAACTCCGAAGATAGGTTGCGCTTGATAACGATCCGAAGTACAAGGAAAAGTATCATCACACTGGTAGATGCTTTTTTGAGATGTACTGACCATGTATCCTGCTGTTTCTGATCTGGGCAACCAAAAATACAGTTCTTTTACCCCCTAGCCTCTTTCTGCATTTCAGATAGTCGCAAATCTGAGCCTTGTGAAAACAAATAGCGCAGAGGCTTGACAGCGTCCCAGATGAAACCTCAAGAAAAAGCAAATTGATAAG